CTTGAGCCACCGCGCCCGGCCTAACCACTGATCTTTTTACTCTCTCTAGTTTTGCCTTTTCTAGAATGTCACATAGTTGGAATTATACAGCATGCAGCCTTTTCAGATTGGCTTCTTCATTTATTCACGTGCACTGCAGATTCCTCTGTCTTTGCATGGCTTGATAGCTCTATTTTATTCCTTGGCAGCTATCAGTTCTAATATTTATTGTTTGTCTTCTCTTTAAGAATGTGTGTTTCATGACAGGGCTTCTTGTCTGCTTTGTTAACTGCTGCACCCCCAGTACCTGGAATAGTACCTCCTTCCATGGTTGTGCTAAGGATTGCATGAGTTATTAATGATATACATAAAGTTTTTCTTTGTGTGTGTGTGTGTTTTTTTTTTTTTTGAGACAGGGTCTTGCTCTGTCTCCCAGGCTGGAGTGCAGTGGTGTGATCCCAGCTCACTGCAGCTTTGACTTCCTAGGCTCAAGCGATCCTTCCATCCCAGCCTCCCCAGCAGCTGGGATCACAGTCGCCTGCCAACACCCCTGGCTAATTTTTTTTTCCCAAATATTTTGTAGAGGCAGAGTCCTGCTATGTTGCACAGGCTGGTCTCGAACTCCAGGGCTCAAGCGAGCTACCCACCTAGACTTCTCAAAGTGCTGGGATTACAGGTGTGAGTCCCCCATAATATTATGTGTATATGAGTAGTAACTGTTATTCCGTATAGGAAGACCAGAAGAGGAGGTGGAAACGGAATGCCGGTTGCTTACATAGGGACCCTTAAATAGTCCTCAGAGAAGGAAGAGCACCTGAGCTGGAGCGACTGGGAGCAAATGCAGGCGGACCAAGCACACAGGATGCAAGTCTCCGGGAGAAAGGGCACACTAATCCCAACTGCCAATTACTTTACAAAGCACATTTACATTCTAAAATCATTTAATCCTCACAAAAATAATATTGTCAGGTGGTATTATAATCCCCGTTTTACCCATGCGAAAACAGGATCTGGGAGGTTGAGCGACTTGCCCATTGCCATCATAGGGCAAGTGGTGGCTCCAGGATCCCCATCCATAAGTTCTGACTCATACTTCAAAGGAGCTCGGAAACTGCTGGGGCGCGATGGGGAGTCCTGGTTCCAGTGTCCTGGGACTCCTGGGCAGGGTAACAAAACCACTTTTAAAAACCCTGCCGGGCGCGGTGGGTCACACCTGTAATCCCAGCACTTTGGGAGGCTGAGGCGGGTGGATCATTTGAGGTCAGAAGTTCGAGACCAGCCTGGCCAATATGGTGAAACCCCGTCTCTACTAAAAATACAAAAATGGCCGGCCACGGTGGCTCACACCTGTAATCCCAGCACTTTGGGAGGCCGAGGAGGGCAGAGCACGAGGTCAGGAGATCGAGACCATCCTGGCTAACATGGTGAAACCCCGTCTCTACTAAAAATACAAAAAATTAGCCGAGCGTAGTGGCCGGCGCCTGTAGTCCCAGCTACTCGGGAGGCTGAGGCAGGAGAATGGCGTGAACGCGGGAGGCGGAGCTTGCAGTAAGCCAAGATCGCACCACTGCACTCCAGCTTGGGTGACAGGGCCGAGACTCCGTCTCAAAAAAAAAAAAAAAAAAATTAGCCGGGGGGGTAGTGTTGCACACCTGTAATCCCAGCTAGTCGGGAGGCTGAGGCTGGAGAATCGCTTGAGCCTGGGAGGTGGAGGTTGCAGTGAGCCGAGGTCCCACCACTGCACTCCAGTCTGGACTACAGAATGAGGCCCTGTTTAAAAAAAAAAAACTTCGCCAAGGTAGGGAGCAGTGGCTCACGTCTGAAGGATCTCTTGAGACCAGCCTGGGCAACATGGCAAAACCCTGTCTCTACAAAAAATTAAACTAGCCGGGCGTGTTGGCTGTCTCTTGTAGTCCCAGCTACTCAGGAGGCTGAGGGGGGAGGATCACTGGGGCCTGGGAGGTTGAGGCTGCAGTCAGCCGTGATCGCACCACTGTGCTCCCACCCGGGCAACAGAGTGAGACTGCCTCAAAAAAACTAATTAAAAAAAAAAAACACCATGCAGTTAACGAGCGGCTGCGTGCGCGAGGTGGCACGCTGGGCTTGCAGACGAATTCTGCCAGTGCTATTTAGAACATTTAAGAGATTCATTTTCCGAGCGACTCCTCCCTTTCCCCCGCCTGCAGGGGGCGTGGCAACAAAGCGCGGGAAAAGTCGACCTTGACCCCACCCCCTACTCCTTGCTGGGGGCGGGGAAAAGGGGAGCTCTTAAATGGGAAATGGAGCTGGGGGGTACCTCCAGCCCATACTTAGGAAGCCTATCAGTTGCCCCTTTAAGGCCTCTTTGGAAATGGCCCAGGCCACGCCAGCACTCCTAACGTCGCCTCCCCCGCTTCCGGTCCGCGAGCACTTCCCAACCTTTAGGTCCCGATTCCTTCCACGTTCGGAATCCCGTACCCCGTCCACGCCCTCCCGCAGAGGGAGGAGCGACGGGTTACGCTGTGGCCCAGGAGCTGGCCCGTGCGAGGATCCCATCCATCAGATTATATGGCGATTTCGACGGTGGGAAGACAGCGAGGAAATGGTCAGCGGATGACGTAATGTTTGGGGTGGCGTCCCATTCTGTGACTTCTGCCCGGCATCAGTGACACGGAATTAGCTTGAAACAGCGCAAAAGGACCTACACTTCCGTCCTGCACTCCGACTCAGTGCGGTTCTGCTCAAAGCGCCCACCATACAGAAGCTGGATTCCTTCGATTCGCGAAAGTGAACTGCAGCTTCAAGCTTCGAGCGGCCAATAGGGAGCGAGGGGCGGAGACGCACCTGGGCGCTCCCCTCTCTAGTAGAAAAGCCGGGAAGCAGGCTGGCTTCTTTCTAAGCGACAGTGGCGGAGGCCAATCGTTTCCGTGACTTGCAGATGGGGCAGACGGACCCTTGCGCAGCCAATGGGGAGAGGTATCTTCAGAGGGCCTCGGCCCCTTGCCCAATGAGCATAAGAGGACTGTGCGGGGCTAGTTCCGAGCGGCAGTACTTAGGACCAACCCAGTGCGGGGCTGGGAGGGGCGCAGGGCTGAGCGAAGGGGGCAAGGGCCAATGGCGAGTGCGAAAGCGGGCAGCCCAGACCCGGAGCGCGGAGGGAGGAGAGGGAGGGGGGAGGCTGAACCGGAGAGAAGCAGGAAGTAGCGGCGGCCGCGGGGAGGGCGGCGGTGGCGGCGGCGGCTGGAGTGGGGTAGAGACCGCCGGGTCTCGGCCCGCACCAGGAGCGGAACAAGTAAGCGTGCCTGGGGTAAATACCCGCCCTTGGCTCCGCCCACTTGGGGGGGCGGGTAAATACCCCCGCCCCTCCCCCACTTGGTCAACTACCCCCTTCTCCGCGCCGCCCCCTGGGGCGGCTTCTAGGAGGGCCCAGACACCGCCTCCATCCATTGGGGCGGATGGGCAAAACTCCCGGCCTGTTGAAAGCACAGCCCCTAGCCGGGTAAACCCCCAGGAGGGTCGAGAACCCCAAGTCCTGGCGCCCCCAGCTCGAGAGGCACCCGAAGTGCGGCCCGGAGATTGGAGGCTGCGGGATGTCGCGACCTAAAATGGTGTCCGTTCCCGGGGATGGGGGCGGGGGGACTGGGCCAGGCCGGAGCGGAGCCTGCACCCCGACTGGGCGCGGGTCAGCGTCCGGGCCCGGGCAAGACCCAGGCTTGCGCCCCTGGCCCCATGTGCACCCTCCGATCAGTCTCCAGTCTCTAGCGAGCCTCCGGGAGTCCGCGGCGGAAGGAGGTTCCGCTGCGCCCGGAGGCGAGGGGACGAGGTCCGAGTTGGGACGGACCCCGGCTAGAGAGCTGAGAGTCGCGCAGAGACCGCCCCCTCTCTCCTCCCCTCTTTGCCAGCTCCCCACCCCATCCTGTGTAGTCCTGGGTCCCCAGGTGCTGCGCAGCAGGTACCAAAGGGCCTGGCCTGACTGAGGCCCGGCCTTCGCTTCGCACGCCGGTGCGAGTGAGAGAAGCGCCGCGCGCCTCAGTTTCCCTTGTAGTTTCTCTTGTGTACACCCCGCCCCCTCCTCGCAACCCAGGACTTGCTCCCCGCGCCGGCCCTCGGCAGATGGCAGGGACTTAATTCCGCCCGCTGCCCAGCTTGGCCGCAACCTAATCGCCGCCAGCCCCTCGCCCTCCTCTGCGCTGCAGGCCTTGGGCCCGGGCAAAGGGCAGTGAAGCCCCCACTCGACCTGGGTCTGTTCAGCCTTTTCCTGTTCAGCCTCTTTGGCTTTTGGGGAAGCACAGAGGGAAAGGGGGCGGGGGAGATAGGAGCCCTAGAGACAGGGCTCAGCAGTCGCAGGAAGGCCTGATCTTCCTTGGCCTTGAGCTCGGCGACTTGCTTGGTCGACTGCTCTGAGTGGGTGGCCATCGGATGACCTCTAAGTCACTGGAACTCCCAAGAGGGAGGTGGCTGGCGGCGGGGGGCGTGCGGGTGAGTTCGCAGGTGTTTTCTAGTCTTTGCTGGTCTTCCCTGTACCAGTCCACTTTTCTGAGTACCTGAATGGAAGGTAGCTCAGGCCTCTGATCAGGAGGGAGCCAGGCTTAGGAGCCAGGCCCACAGAGACAAGGGGTTTTGTTTAAACCCAGAGTCTGCAGAATTAAATAGGGTGGGAGTGAGGGAAGGACTCCCCCTTTGTCTGGTTGGTATCCTTTGCCCCCACCCCCACCTTGGTCCCAGGAATTCCAGCTGCCACATGCTGCGGCTGTCTCTAGTTACAGTATGAAGGCTGGAGAGAAGTGGGAGAACTGGCTTCGAGAAATGGCCTGCAACCTGGGGATGGAATGGATAGGGATAGATTCTTTAGTTGCTTCTTCGTAGATACAGAAACAGTCATGGGGAGGCACTGGCAGGGGACAGACATGGGTCTCCCACAAACTCTGAGCTGGCCTGCTTGTCCGATTAGTGCCACATAATTCTTGTGGGATTTTAAATTTTATTTTTTGCACTTGGCTAGGTTGAGGTTAGGTGAAACTTCCTGGGCTACTGTTGCCACAGGAAAATGGAAAGGGTGAGGAGTTTAAGTTAGGGAATGGAATGGGGTGAGGAGCTTGGAGCAGAAATGATGGGTGAGGGGTGAAGGAGCCTGGCTTTTCCCCACTGTGGCAGCTGTGCTGGATAACTGTGTACCCTGGGAGTTTTAGCCTCAAGAGAGCAAACTGCGGAGGGGTAGTGAAGGAGGGGCTGGCTAGGGGAGGGCCAGGCACTCTGGGGAAGGTAGTGAGCGAGCAGCAGGTGTTTGTGACAGGAGAGGCCTAGGCTGGGGCCCTTGTGACCAGGCTGCCATCACCATTTTCCCCTCTGTCTCTTCTCTTTGTCTCTTTCTGTTCCTGTGTCTTATTTTTTCCATCTTGGTCTCTTGGGTAATTTCCTTGAGTCCTTTTCTCCCTGCTGACCAAGCTAGATCTCCAGGTGCCAGTGATGGCCCCAGGTGCCCTAGACTTGATCCTGCATGACCTCTGACTCTTGCCTCCGACCCCAGCCCTAGAGTTCCAGGGGTTATTCCTTTCCAGCTCTTCCTTGACCTGACATGTCCTTGCTTGGTTCATCTGGAATAGTGAATCGTATTCTCGGTGTGATTCTTACATTAGCAATTTCGTATCGTGCTCAGAATAACCCTATGATATATAGATCACTTGTGCTCTCTGTCTTGTCTTTTCTTTTTCTTCTTTTTTTTTTGAGACAGGGTCTCACTCTGTCACCCAGGCTGGAGTGTGTGGCGTGATCATGGCCCATCACAGCCTCGACCTCCTGGGCTCAGGGGATCCTCCCATGTCAGCTGGGAGGCATAGCTGGGAATACAGGCATGTGCCATCATGCCTGGGGAGTTTCACCATGTTGCCCAGGGTGGTCTTGAACTCCTGGGCCCAAGTGATTGACCTCCCAAAGTGCTGGGATTACAGATGTGAGCCACCACACCCGGCCATTTGTGTCCTCTTTCAAACAGCAAAAGTAAGGCACTGAAGAAACTTGCTTGTACTGCAGGCCCCTGATAAAGCTGAACGAGGATCATTTCTTAAGTCTTGGCTTACGGCCTTGCCCCTTTGTACACATAGCCTTTCAGATCTCTGTGGACCCCAGAAGATCCATGAAGAATATGAATTGATTCCATGTGGACATGAATGAGCCCTTAAACCTAGAGTATCATATACATCATCCTCCTTAATGATAGTATCGATTATTTGGTTCTGTGCTGGGCACAGGAGGGGATGAGCTGGTTTCCATCAGGATGCTCACTGAGCTCCCCTGTTCCTGTATTTCTTCTTCTTTTTTTTGTGTTTTTTCCTGAGATGGAGTCTTGCTGTGTCACCCAGGCTGGAGTGCAGTGGCACAATCTCGGCTCACTGCAAGCTCCGCTTCCCGAGTTCAAGCAATTCTTTTGCCTCAGCCTCCCGAGTAGCTGGGACTATAGGTGAGTGCTGCCACGCCCAGCTACTTTTTGTATTTTTAGTAGCCCTGGGGTTTCACCATCTTGGCCAGGATGGTCTTGATCTCCTGACCTCGTGATCCGCCCGCCTCTGCCTCCCAAAGTGCTGGGATTACAGGTGTCAGCCACTGTGCCTGGCCCCCTGTATTTCTTTTTGAGACAGGGTCTTACTCTGTCCAGGCTGGAGTGCAGTGGCATGATCTTGGCTCACTGCAACCTCAACCTCATGGGTTCAAGTGATTCTTCTGCCTCAGCCTCCTGAGTAGTTACTATTACAGGCATGCGCCACCACACCTGTCTAGTTTTTTGTATTTTTAGTAGAGACAGGGTTTCACTATGTTGGCCAGGCTGGTCTCAAACTCCTGACCTCAAGTGATCCACCTGCCTCAGTCTCCCAAAACACTGGGACTACGAGCATGAGCCACCGCACCTGGCCCCTTCCCTGTATTTCTGAGAACTCTTTTCTCCTGCTTTCTCTGGATTTTGGAGCCTGCCAGGGTATGGACACTAACCTTCTGATTTTAGGGTTTGGCAAACCTAGCAGCTCTGTAGGATTCATGCTGTGGTGGAGGTGTACCTAAGTTGGAGTGCATATGGGTTCTGAGAGAGGATAAATATGGAGATGCTGAGGAAAGAGCTCCAGGATCTCCAGACATCTCAGTTTCTCCTTATTCCTGTTTTCATCAGGTCTGGGACCTGCCGATATGGGGGACATGAAGACCCCTGATTTTGATGACCTCCTTGCTGCCTTTGACATCCCTGACATTGATGCAAATGAAGCCATCCATTCTGGGCCAGAAGAAAATGAGGGGCCAGGAGGCCCAGGGAAGCCAGAACCAGGTGTGGGAAGTGAATCTGGAGACACAGCAGCAGCCTCAGCTGGGGATGGCCCTGGAGTTCCAGCCCAGGCCTCTGACCATGGCCTGCCACCGCCAGACATTTCTGTAGTTAGTGTCATTGTCAAGAACACTGTGTGTCCTGAGCAGTCTGAGGCCCTGGCTGGAGGCTCAGCAGGGGATGGGGCCCGGGCTGCTGGGGTAACTAAGGAAGGGCCTGTGGGGCCTCATCGAATGCAGAATGGTTTTGGGGGTCCTGAACCTTCCCTCCCAGAAACCCCCCACTCTCCTGCTCCTCCCAGTGGGGGCACCTGGAAAGAAAAAGGCATGGAAGGCAAAACTCCCTTGGACCTGTTTGCTCATTTTGGCCCTGAGCCAGGGGACCACCCGGATCCCCTGCCTCCCTCTGCACCCTCTCCCCCTCAGGAGGGGGCTATGACCCCACCTCCTTTCCCCTCTTCCTTTGAGCTGGCCCAGGAGAATGGCCCAGGCATGCAGCCACCTGTTTCTTCCCCACCGTTGGGGGCCTTGAAGCAGGAGAGCTGCAGCCCCCATCAACCCCAGGGCCTAGCCCCACAAGGCTCAGGCTCCAGCCCTGAGGCCACGGACATCCCTGCCAGTGCCTCGCCTCCCCGAGTTGCTGGGGTGCCCTTCTTCAAGCAGTCTCCAGGGCACCAGAGCCCTCTTGCCTCCCCCAAACTGCCCGTCTGTCAGCCCTTGAAAGAAGAAGATGATGAGGGGCCAGTGGACAAGTCTTCCCCAGGAAGTCCCCAGAGTCCCTCTAGTGGGGCTGAGGCTGCAGATGAGGACAGCAATGACTCCCCTGCCTCCAGCTCCTCTAGGCCTCTTAAGGTGCGGATCAAGACCATTAAAACATCCTGCGGGAATATCACAAGGACTGTAACTCGGGTCCCTTCAGATCCTGATCCACCTGCCCCCTTGGCTGAGGGGGCCTTCTTGGCTGAAGCTAGCCTCTTGAAGCTGTCCCCTGCAACACCTACTTCTGAGGGTCCAAAGGTGGTGAGCGTACAGTTGGGTGATGGTACAAGGCTGAAAGGCACTGTGCTACCTGTGGCCACCATCCAGAATGCCAGTACTGCCATGCTGATGGCAGCCAGTGTGGCCCGCAAGGCTGTGGTGCTGCCTGGGGGGACTGCCACCAGCCCTAAGATGATTGCTAAGAATGTGCTAGGCCTGGTGCCCCAAGCCCTGCCTAAGGCTGAGGGGCGGGCAGGGCTGGGGACTGGGGGACAGAAGGTGAATGGTGCCTCAGTGGTGATGGTGCAGCCTTCAAAGACAACTACTGGGCCGAGTACAGGGGGCGGCACAGTGATCTCACGGACCCAGTCCAGCCTGGTGGAGGCCTTCAACAAGATCCTCAACAGCAAGAACCTGCTCCCTGCCTATAGGCCAAACCTGAGCCCACCAGCTGAGGCTGGGCTGGCCCTGCCTCCCACCGGCTACCGCTGCCTGGAGTGTGGGGATGCCTTCTCGTTGGAGAAGAGCCTGGCACGGCACTATGACCGCCGGAGCATGCGCATCGAGGTCACCTGCAACCACTGCGCCCGCCGCCTGGTCTTCTTCAACAAGTGCAGCCTGCTCCTGCATGCACGTGAACACAAGGACAAGGGGCTCGTTATGCAGTGCTCACATTTGGTCATGAGGCCCGTAGCCCTTGACCAGATGGTGGGGCAGCCGGACATCACACCCCTGCTGCCTGTAGCTGTCCCACCTATCTCTGGACCTCTGGTCTTGCCTGCCTTGGGCAAGGGTGAGGGGGCCATCACCTCCTCTGCCATTACTACAGTTGCTGCTGAGGCCCCTGTCCTGCCACTCTCCACTGAGCCGCCTGCTGCCCCTGCCACCTCTGCTTACACGTGCTTTCGCTGCCTGGAGTGCAAGGAGCAGTGCCGGGACAAGGCTGGCATGGCAGCTCACTTCCAGCAGCTCGGCCCCCCTGCCCCTGGGGCCACCAGCAATGTGAGTCACCTTTCACAGCCCTTCTGTGGGGACAGGATCTAGGAAGGTGTTGGGGGCTTGGTTAGAAGTAATAGAGACAGGACACTCTTCACCGACTTTCCTTGTTTAATCCACTCGACAGGTGTGCCCAACCTGCCCCATGATGCTCCCCAATCGCTGCAGCTTCAGCGCCCACCAGCGCATGCATAAGAATCGACCCCCCCACGTCTGTCCTGAGTGTGGGGGCAACTTCTTGCAAGCCAATTTTCAGACCCATCTCCGGGAGGCCTGTCTGCACGTCTCTCGCCGTGTGGGATACAGGTGCCTTGGACCCTTCCTCCATAGAACTGTAGGGTTTCGTGTGTCCTAGCCTCAGCCTCAGATGGCCTTTCAAGATCCCCGCTGTATCCCTCAGCCCTGTTTTGGCAAACAACCCTGAGATAGTACGTCCTGCCTTCCCGTCGTCCCCCATGGAGATGGGGGGAAGCAGGGCCACCTCTGGAGCTCCAGCTCTCCCTCGGCAGCCTCCCTTGGGGAATGGCCTCTGCACCTCTCTCATTTCTCCACCCTGCTCATGCTCCACTACTGATTTCCTTCTTGTAGTCTACCCAGTCCCAGAGAATAAATGTGTGGTCCCAGGTTGGGCATGGAGATGCCTCCCACCTCACCACAGGGCCTCCTGCTTCCTCCCTAGGTGCCCCAGCTGTTCAGTGGTGTTTGGGGGTGTGAACTCCATCAAGTCCCACATCCAGACGTCGCACTGCGAGGTTTTCCACAAGTGCCCCATCTGCCCCATGGCCTTCAAGTCTGGGCCCAGCGCCCATGCCCACCTCTACTCCCAGCATCCCAGCTTCCAAACTCAGCAGGCCAAGTGAGGCCCAGGGGAGGGCCGGGCCAGGGAGGCAGGGCTGGTGGGGTGTAGGAGGGGAGGGGCTGCACCCCTCCCTGCCTGATGTCTGCATTGTCCTCACCTCAGGCTGATCTACAAGTGCGCCATGTGTGACACAGTCTTCACTCACAAACCCCTCCTCTCCTCACACTTCGACCAGCACTTGCTGCCCCAGCGTGTCAGTGTCTTTAAGTGCCCGTCTTGTCCTCTGCTTTTTGCCCAAAAAAGGACCATGCTGGAACATCTCAAGGTACAGGAGCAGAGGGATGGGGGATGGGGGATGGGTGCTTAGCTGTACTGACCTGGGGCTGGGGCCACATACTTCAGAAGTGGGGGGCTTTGGCACAGCCAGGCCCTCCCCCACAACAGCAACCTCCCTTGTCTCCTCTCATAGAACACCCATCAGTCTGGGCGCTTGGAGGAGACTACTGGGAAAGGGTCCGGGGGTGCCCTGCTGACCCCCAAGACTGAGCCTGAGGAGCTGGCTGTTTCTCAGGGAGGGGCAGCCCCTGCTACTGAGGAGTCGTCTTCATCTTCAGAAGAGGAGGAAGTACCCAGCTCCCCTGAGCCCCCCCGTCCAGCCAAACGGCCTCGGCGGGAACTAGGGAGCAAAGGCCTCAAGGGTGGGGGTGGGGGGCCTGGAGGCTGGACCTGTGGCCTGTGTCACTCCTGGTTCCCTGAGCGTGACGAGTATGTGGCCCACATGAAGAAGGAGCATGGCAAGGTGAGTGAGCCCCAAGGGGAGTACCATGGGCTGGGGGCAGCACTGGGACTGCCAGTGTGACAGTGGGGACGGGGTCCTGGAGCCTGGCTCTGACATCTACCCATGCTCTCCTAGTCAGTGAAAAAGTTTCCCTGTCGCCTTTGTGAGCGCTCCTTCTGCTCCGCCCCCAGCCTGAGGCGTCATGTCAGGGTCAATCATGAGGGCATCAAGCGAGTGTACCCCTGCAGGTAAGTCTTGCTCCCCGCTTTTTCTCCCTGCCCAGCACGTGACTCTCCCCGTATGCCAAAGTACCTTTGCACCTGCAACGTGTCTAAGTGGCCTGATGGTTGGGGTCTCCCTCTGCTCCAGCAGCCCCCTCATCAGGAGCAAGGGCCTTGGCCTTCGGGCTGTGCCCCTGCTGCCATCCTGTCCTCTCCCATTTCAGGTATTGCACAGAGGGAAAACGCACCTTCAGCAGCCGCCTGATCCTGGAGAAACATGTCCAGGTCCGGCATGGCTTGCAGCTTGGGGCCCAGTCCCCTGGCCGGGGGACCACTTTGGCTCGGGGTTCCAGTGCCAGAGCCCAGGTAGGCAGAGGCCCGGCCTGCTGTGCTAGGGCTTTGAGTGGGAAACTGGAAGGTAGAGACTGTGGCCTCAGGAAGTGAGCGTGGGGGTGCCAAGGACAGTGGGGATGGTGGTAAGGCCCAGTTTCTTCCACTTTTCTTCAGGGGCCAGGTCGGAAACGCCGCCAGTCTTCTGACTCTTGCAGTGAGGAGCCTGACAGCACGACACCGCCAGCCAAGTCCCCCAGGGGCGGACCTGGATCTGGAGGCCATGGCCCCCTGCGCTACCGGAGCAGCGGCTCCACAGAACAGAGCCTCATGGTGGGGTTGAGGGTGGAGGATGGTGCCCAGCAGTGCCTCGACTGTGGCTTGTGCTTTGCCTCCCCTGGCTCCCTGAGCCGGCACCGTTTCATCAGCCACAAGAAGAGACGGGGTGTGGGTAAAGCCAGTGCCCTGGGGCTGGGGGATGGGGAGGAAGAGGCCCCTCCATCAAGGTCTGACCCCGATGGTGGAGACTCACCCCTGCCTGCCTCTGGAGGCCCACTGACCTGTAAGGTCTGTGGCAAGAGCTGCGACAGTCCTCTCAACCTCAAGACCCACTTCCGCACGCATGGCATGGCGTTCATCAGGGCTCGGCAGGGGGCTATTGGGGATAACTAGGCCCTAAGCCTGGGACTGACCAGCCCCTTCCTCTTGGAGCCTGGTTTTCCCTGCTGCTGCCTGATCCCCTGGCTGGGGAGTTTCATTGACATTAACATTTTGTTAATTCCTCTCTCAAACCTGAAGAAAAGCTTTTGAGGATTATTCTAGTTATTTGCAACCTCCCTTTGGGTTTGGCCCTGGAGTCCTAGTAGAGTCGACCCTCCATTCCTCTTTTCTGAGCCCAACACTAATTATGCTCCTGCTGCAGAACCCCCAGTGTGGGCCTGGCGTTGGGAGGATGGGACTTAGGTATTCCTGCTAGACAGGTTCAGGGAAGGACTGATGGGGGTGTCACGGATGGACACATCCCTCCACAATTCCTTCAGGCATGGACTGGAAATTTCCTCCTCTGGGCCAGGCCCTACCCTAGTGCCCCCTCCCCCCCAACTCACTGGCACTCAAGCCCCCTACCCCTGCAGTGCCTTTCACTTCTTTTTTTCCCCAGAAATCCGGGGGGGTGGTTGGTGGGGATGAGTCCTGTCAAGGGGGCCACAGGAGAGGAGGGGACAGGCTCTCAGGAATCCTTTATTCTTGTAGTAATAATACTAACAGTGGGGGAACTAGGGAGAAAACCAGACCATTAAAACTGTTTTTGGTCTAATCTCCATTCAGGCCTCTCTTTTTCTGTGACTTGGACAATGTGGACTTGAAGCGGGTGAGAGAACATGGAAGGCCCTTTCTTCTCAGGGAATTCAGGGAAGAGGTGGTGGTGACCAAGACAGGCAGGGAAGAAGCAAACCTCTTTCTGTGTGGTGCCTTTTGTATCTTGGACACTGAGGCATCCGTTCACACCTCATCCCCAATTTCCCCCCAGAAAACCTGGAAATGACACAAGTGGCTAACTAAGGACTTTATTTCAAACAAAAATTAAAAATAAAAAATTGAGAGCTCTTTTCCCTGGGTTTGGGGAAGGAGTCAGGGTAGGGAATTCCCCATGGCTAGGCCAGTACCCTCAGAACACTGGAGGGCTGTGGGAATTCCCTTCCTTGCCCATAATGGGGAACCTCAGCAAGTGCAGGGCCCACGCAGCGCCCGCCAGCAAGGGGAGCTCGGGCCAGGGGTCGGTCCCTGGGAGGGGTAGAGCTGGGCAGCAGCATGGCCAGTGGCCAACCACAGGATCAAGTCCTAAGTACCGAGAACCTACTCTTCCCCGCTTCCTGGGCCCCAGAACGGAATAAGAGGATGGTCTGTGGAAAGAACCTCTCAAACCCCTACAAGGAGAAGAAAGGCTCCGGCGTCCCTCACATTCGTCGCCTCTGTTTTCTGGAGGGCAGTGAGTCCTGGAGCCTGTCCGGTGGTAATACTGACACAGAGCAGGAGGGGCAGGGAAGCCCCAGCAAGTCTGGACCCCACAGCTGGCTCTCCCACCCCCCCGGCAAGCTCCCGCAGTTACCACATGATCCTTCGTGTTTCTTGCCTTCCATTTCCCTTGGGTGGATGGTTGGGTAGGTGGGGTTTCCTGGTTTGGGGTTTCTCAGACAAGGGCCCTCTAGGGAGGGTGCCCTGGACCCCCCCGCCAGCACTCCTGGGCTGAGGAGCATGTCACATGATGCCGTTGGTGAGGTACTGGAAGCCGTCATAGAGTTTGGTGGTGATAGACCGCATACTGCCATCCACCATCTGCTCCACCAGCAGCTGCAGCTGCTCCTCAGTCATGCTCATGTGGAACCTCTCTTTGAGGTTTCGAATGGTGCTGGAGCCATGGAAGCAAGGAAGCTGAGAACCTGGGGGAAGCAGTGGCGGTTCAGGGTCATGGATGGACAGGAGGGAGGGGCAGTGGTGCCAGCCACAGCAAATACAAAGCTGGGGCATCTGAAGTGCCCTTTCCCTCCCACCTCAGGTCCTTGATGGTGTGGGTACAGTTCTGCTTGGGCAGAGAGAAGGAACCGACAGGACCCCTCATCACCCCACACCTAAGCCCTTCTGTAGGTGAGGGCATGTGGGCAGAGAAGGGAAGGGGACCAACACCACATCTCCCTCAGTAAGGGTGGAGGGGCCCAGAGGGCAGGCTGGGAGGAGGCTGAAGGGAGTGGGCCCTGAGCTGGGCACTTATCTGGTTGCAGACCTCTGCCTATGCTACGTCTGACACTCACAGATGACCTGGGCCACCGTCATCATGGGGCCAGATGGGGATGATCCTGAGCAACGGCGACAACCTGTGGGGTAGGGTCAGGAATGGGGAGGGGGGAGACTGGCAGCTCAGACCTGGTATACATCTGGAGCCTTGAGGGGGGGATGAGGACAGAAGGGGGTCCTGAGCAAAAGACTAGATGGCAAGACTGTAGTGGAAGGAGATAATGATGAGAGGGGAAGTACTTCTCAGAGCTGAACAGTGGCAGAAGACGGCAATCAGAGGTCATAGTGGAATGGGGAAGAGAGATGGAAGGAGACTGAGAAACTCAGAGTTGGACAGGGGTGGGGAGGTGAGGAGGGACCAGGAGGCTGTAAATGAGTCTGTTTTCTCCCTAAAGATGCCAAGGAGGCGGGTGCTGCTATCCCCTTCCCCAACCTCCTGGACTTAGCCTTACCAGGGTCAGGAGGAATGTCCTAAAGGAGAAACAAGGCACTGGACCACAGCTAGAAACCCTCTGGGAACCCCCCTCCCTCAACCCAAGTCTTGGGGTGGGATCAGCTTTCTTATGCTCCAGGGCTCCTACTTAAAGGGGAAGCCTGAGGCACTATGGCACCTGACCTCACGCCAGCCCCACCTTGCTGCATGATCTCCACGATCTGCACCACCTTGTCCATGTGTTTCCGAGCAGCAATCAGCCCTTGCAGCATCAGCATCTTATAGTAGTTGAACATGTCGCCATCCAGGCCGCCCATCACCTGGAAAGGGAAGAAAGTGTTGTGTGCACAAGGGGACTTACACCAGGGATGGTCCCTGTCCTCACTGGCCTACCAGAACTCCTCTTCCTCTTGGGGCCCTGTTATTTCCCCCCTTATCAGGCAGGAAGCTCCCAGGAACTCCTGCCTCACCCCTAATTACTGCCTGTTCTGTTCATCCCTAATTTGCAGGGAGCCCATCAGCTCCCCCTCCCATGACAGAGAAAGAATACAATGACCCCAGAGGCACCTCTCCTTCTTGACTCACATCCACAAACTCTGTGGTCAGCTTAAAGGCTGACGTCTCAAAGCCCAGATTTCGGGGTGAGCTGGAGAGGATGAAGCCAAAGTCGATGTGGATGATGTGGCCTTCTGCGTCCAAAAGGATGTTCCCATTGTGTCTGAGGAGGAGGGGAATACACGAGAGGAAGAGGCAGTAGTAAGTCTGACTGAGGCTGGAACCTCAAGCAGCAGTACACTGGCCACATGACACCAGGCAGGGGGGTCCCCTGCCATGTTTCCTGCTGCCTGTAACTCCAATCTCCTGTCCAGTTTCCTAGGACCTAAAGCTATCAGTGGAAAGAAAGGAAATCAGAAAAGAAAACTGCTAACAAAGGCTATGGGGTCTGAAATTGCTATTAATAATTTAATAAAAATAGTTTAAGATTCTCCCAATTTCCCAGAAATTGCACTTCTAGCACTCAAACTATCCCAATCTAGTAGATAATCCAGAAGCAAGGAAAGAGGGCCTCTGAGGCTCCAGCCAGCTTTCACAGAGGCCAAGTGCGCTATCCATGGGAGGCTCCACTCAGAGCCTGTTTACCTGTGGGTTATTTGTAACTCCTGTCAGCCCACTGCAGATCAGAGGCCTCACCAGAAGGGAGCAACAACAGAGGCAAGTGGGCTGAGTGGAGCTGAAAGGTAAAATAGCGTGGGAGTTTCGAGGGGTAAGTTTTAAATCACTTATGTAAAAAGTCTCAGGAGGCAGTACTACAGGGCAGCTGTAGAAGAGTTAAAGGGAGATAAATTCCAGGTCTTTGTGATTCCCACATGAATGGCCAGTAGCAGAAGGAACAATTAACATGCTAAGCATGTGAGGCCTGGCCTATTCAACATAACCGGCCTCCTCAGTGTCAATAGAGGCTTTGTTAGGCTAAGAGCTCATGGTCTGAGGGCCACCTTCTCTGGGGTTGGTTTGGCCAAAAAAGCAGGGACAAAAGGAGAACCTACTCCCACCTGAGTTCTTCCCTTCTCTGGGAAAACACTAAAGATTTAGTAATCCAGGCACTATCTTGTGAGCTAGAATGGTTCTAGGAGTTGTCATGATTCAACCTCACATTTTACAGGTGAAGAAACAGAGGCCCTGAGAGAGGAAGTGATTTACTTGCCCAAGGTCCCAAACCCTCTCTTTCACTACCAGAGTTAGCTCCAGCTGGAAAGCTGCTTAGGACTACTTCTGAAGTAGTTAAAGAGATCCTAAAGCCCGACTCCAGTATGGGGCGTCATTCATTGTTGCCACTTCTTTCCAGTGGTTGATTCCATTCATGGCTTGACTATATTCTTTTTTGAGGTACTATGAACGGCTTATCAGCTACCTGCCCTCCTCTATTCCTCCTTTTTTAGAGGATGGACTCTCATCTTCCAAACATACTAGTTTCCTAAAGGAAAGCCCTGGGGCCTGACTAGTGCCAGCTTCCCTGCCACCCATTTACTCAATCCGAGGGCTGAGCTCTAGGCTCCCTGGGCCCTGAGTTCAAAATCCTGACACTTCGAGATAGTCTGAAGCTTGCAATCAAATTCCTTATAATTACATTCTCGGCTGGGCACAGTGGCTCATGCCTGTAATCCCAGCACTTTGGAGGCTGAGGCAGGTGGATCACCTGAGCTCAGGAGTTTGAGACCAGCCTGGCCAACATGTTGAAACCCTGAAACCCGTCTCTACTAAAAATACAAAAATTAGCTGGGCGTGGTGGCGCATGCCTGTAATCCCAGCTAATCAGGAGGCTGAGGTGGGAGAATCACCTGAACCCTGGGAGGCTGAGGTTGCAGTGAGCCGAGATCACACCACTGCACTCCAGCCTGGACAACAGAGAAAGACTCCGTCTCACCAAAAAAAAAAAAAAAACCAAAAAAAACTTACATTCTCCTATAGTTCTCAAATGCAGAGCCTGGGTCCATTTGTAGGGCTGGCAGGGTGGAATGAGCACAGGGTCTAATAGCTACCTAACTGTTTCCCTCATGAGGAAACACGTGTCTGACAGGGTTTTCATCTGGTTTAAATATAAGAATGTCAGGCCATGGTAGAACTTAATAGGTGCTAGATTTCCTTTTTTTTGAGACGGAGTCTCACTCTGTCGCCCAGGCTGGAGTGCAGTGGTGCGATCTTGGCTCACCGCAACCTCCACCTCCTGGATTCAAGTGATTCTCCTGCCTCAGCCTCCCGAGTAGCTGGGAATACAGGCGCCTGCCACCACACCCGGCTAATTTTTTATTTTTAGTAGAGATGGGGTTTCATGGTGTTGGTCATGCTGACCTCCTGACCTCAGTTGATTCGCCCACCTCAGCCTCCCAAAGTGCTGGGATTACAGGCGTGAGCCACTGCGCCCAGCCTAAGACTAATTTTTATTTTTATTTTTTGAGATAGAGTCTCGGTGTCACCCAGGCTGTTGTGCAGTGGCGCAATCTTGTCTCACTGCAACCTCCACCTCCTGGGTTCCAGCAATTGTCCTGCTTCAGCCTCCCGAGTGGCTGGGATTACAGGCATGCGCCACCATGCCTGGCGAGTATTTGGTATTTTTAGTAGAGATGGGGTTTTGCCATGTTGGTCAGGCTGGTCTTGAACTACTGACCTCAAGTGATTCACCTGCCTCAGGCTCCCAAAGTGTTGGGATTACAGGTGTGAGCCATTGCGTCCAGACTAGATGCTAGATTTCTAATAAGCTGCTCTGTTAGCTAGCTAGTTATTTTGGTATTTTTAGACAGGGTTTCGCTCTGTTGCCCTTAACCTCCTGCTCAAGTGATCCTCCCACCTCAGCCTCTGAAGCAGCTGGGACCACAGCTGTATCCCACCATGCTCGGCTAATTTTTGTTTATTTTTTTGTAAAGACAGGATCTCATTAGGTTGCCTAGGCTGGTCTTGAATTCCTGGGCTCAAGCGATCCTCCTGCCTCGGCCTTGTTAGCTAGATCTTCTTTTTTTTTTGAGACTCGCCCTGTTGCCTGGACTGAAGTACTGTGGCATGATCTTGGTTCACTGCAATCTCTGCCTCCTGGGTTCAAGCAATTCTCCTGCCTCACCTCCCAAGTAGCTGGGATTACAGGTGTGTATCACCAAGCCCAGTTTATTTATATATATACATTTCTTTTTTTTTTTGAGTTTGAGTTTCACCCTTGACGCCCAGCCTGGAGTACAATGGCGCCACCTTGGCTCGTTGCAACCTCTGCCTCCCGGGTTCAAGCGATTTTCCTGCCTCAGCCTCCCAAGTAGCCGGGATTACAGGCGCCTGCCACCATGCCCAGCTGATTTTTTTTTTTGTATTTTTAGTAGAGACGGGGTTTCACCATGTTGGCCAGGCTGGTCTTGAACTCCTGACCTTACGTGATCCGCCCACCTCAGCCTCCTAAAGTGCTGGGATTATAGGCATGAGCCACCACACCTAGCCATTGTTAGCTAGATCTTAATGGGCCACCATGTTACTGGAAACCCCAGCAGCACCGGCCACTGCATTTCCACCTTCCCAGGACAGCTGCCCTATGCCGAGGCAGAGACGGAACTTGTAGGGGCATTCAGGGCAGAGACCCTGGATCACTGTTGGGAGAAACTCTTAGACGGCAGGGCCTAGATGGTGTAATTATCTTTGTACATTATCTGCCTCACCTACATGTGTAGTTAGGTTTCATCAAGGTCATGTGATATTGAAAAAAAAATGACAGCTCTGGGCAAAACAACAGATACTTAAAAGCTGTGGAAATCATATGCTGGAATAAGAAGTGAGGAGAGTTCATGGCTGAGAGTTTCCACTTGATCTCCATCATGTTTCTCCTTTTTGCTCTCAGTCACGAACCACTACCCTTAGTGCCAGGCCCTATTATCGCTCGCTTTGTTGCTAAACGCCCAATTACATCCGCCTTCACCCACCGTGCCACAGGGCATTTACTCAACACAGACTGAATCATGTCATTCCTCTGCCTGCAAAATAAAACACCTAAGCTTCACAATGAAGGCCCTTCTTCAACTGGCCTCAATTTACCTGCCTGATGGTACCACCTCCTATTCCACTGCCATGCAGTGCAGTCTGTGCTTTAATCACAATTCAATTATTTCTTCTAGCTGGGATGTACCTTCTCTGCAGCTTCCTCTGTCATCATTCTCCCTTGTTCTTGAAGACCCTGCTCACTCAAACCCTTAGTCCTCCCATAAATCCTTCATTTCTTTGCCCTTTTACCCTAGTTCTTATTAGTCTGCCTCCTGACTTAATGTCATGTGAACACATCTGTCTCTGCTTAAAAATATTGTTTCATTTTTCACATCTTTGCCATGGAGGGCAGTAATAAGTAATTGAGAACTACACACGAAGGGACGGAGAGAACCCTGGAGAAATGTTAGGATGAGCAGCAGAAGTCACCTACCTGTCCTTGACTTGCAGCAGGTAGCAGACCAAGCAGTACCCAGCACAACTTTGCACAAAATTTCGCTGGGCACTGAGGAATGCCTCAGTGGTGTAACTGCCATGCTCCTGTAGAAAGTAATCGAGCAAGGAGAGCTGTGACTGTTTCTTCACCTGATGGATGGACACAGCGTTGACCACTGGTTCAATCATGCCACTATCAGCCGAAATCACAAGAATCTTGTATGGCTTGATCCAAAGGGGCACTCGCTCCTGTTCCCAAATGGACTGTGAGGAGACATGAAGGATATAGGACTCTTACCTTTCTCCAAACTAGAGAAGGAGGCTAAAACTCCTCCCTTTCTCTAACCTCTTTCCTTGCTGGCACTGGATTCTAAGCCATCAAGTGAGTAAGACTCACTTAACCCAGTGAGAACCAGGGAGTTTTGAAAGGAAGTCTAGGGCCTGACAAAGTCAGGAAACTACACTTAGGTATGTGGGAAAAGGTATCACATAAGTAGAAAGTCCAAGAGAGGCAGGGAGAACAGGGAACTTCACTATCCCCTCTCAAGCAGGGAGAATGGGAGCTGTAAGTTCAAATAATAATAAAAAAGAGGCCAGGTGCAGTGGCTTATGCTTGTAATCCCAGCACTCTGGGAGACCAAGGAGGGTGGATCACCTGAGGTCAGGAGTTCAAGACCAGCCTGGCTAACCTCAGTAGAGAATGAAACCTTATCTCTACTAAAAATACAGAAATTAGCCAGGCGTGGTGGTGCATGCCTGTAATCCCAGCTACTCAGGAGAATCACTTGAACCCAGGAGGTGGAGGTTGCAGTGAGCCAAGATTGCACCACTACACTCCAGCCTGGGCGACAAAGCGAGACTCTCTCCAAAA